TGTATATATACCTACTATCGCATCTATTTGCATTGACTAGACTGAATAACTGTGTAAATGAAATAACTAAATTTGTGTTTTTGCGATAAAATTAAAATAAAATTAATTCTTGGAACAGAACGATTCTTAGGACCGGGCATAAGACTGACTTATGGAAATGTCTGACCCAAAGAGAGAAAGACCAGTATTTTTGGTCCGGACCGTCCCTAATATGACAAAGATTAATTAATTTGACAATCCTGTTATTTGCGAGGAAAGTTAGTGTTGGATGTGCATAGGCGTTGGCAAATGATCCTGAAATATAGCCTTAAGATTATCATTAATAACAATAAATTTCAAGTCGAGATTATAAACTTTATAAGATTTTTAAAGATTGTATATGATTAAAATAATTATGTAATCACAAATATACTGATTTACACGCACCCCGTGATATTAGGATTTCTGATTTAAAAAAAAGTGTGAATCGTATTATATCCAGTACTTTCATGTTAATAATTATAATCTAGTAAATTAATATTCAAAATAATGATGATATTTATATTATTAGTGAGGATTACACGTAAATAAAATTGATTTTCAAAGAAAAACTTACAAACTTTATTAGAATAAATACAGACATAAAGATTAATAAAACAAATACATTAAATATTTTAAACGGAGAACGCGAAGCTCAAAAAAACCTTAAAATTCAAACTGAAAATCATATACATAACTTAGTACTATACAAGTACTAGGTTACACGATGAGGACGTCAGTACTAATCGCAACCAATAAACAAAACTCAAACAAACAAAGTTCCTAATCTACCGTCGTGTAAACTACCCCCCTAGGGTTTTGGGCAAAAATTTTGTAAGAAACCCGGGTATTTTACATAATGTTAATTTTTTTGAACTGAGTAATAGGCGATTTTATGAAACTTTTATTTATTAATTTATAAACGAATATATTATAATTACTGCTATTAGAATTATAAAAGAATATTATAAGCTAAATAAAAATTTTTTTTTTTTTATTAAAATTCCAATAAGACGGCAATTAAAATCTATTTTTTTATTATTTTTAAACTAACTATTAAATTATATATATAATAAAGAATTATTAAGATATCATTATAATTCTTAGCTATATGCAACAAGTGACAAACCAATACAGAAAGTACTGGGATCATAAGGGAAAATGGTTTCAAAAAAAAATTTGCAAAAACCATTAATTTGCAAATTACAACTATTAAAATTCATCCCAATTATTATAATTATCTTCACCATCCTCACCTTCTCCAAGTAATTATTATCTCCACTATTTTCATTAAAATTTTCTTTACCTTCTATAAGTAGATTATCATAATCGAAAATCTCATCATCTTCTGTACCATCTGTTTTAACCGAAATTCCACAACACTTAAATAATTTACAAATTAAATTTGGATTAACTTTTTCCCATGCATCCTTTACCAATGAGCAAACCAAAAAATACGAAGGTTTTTTGATTTGTTTAGTTGGAATAAATTCATGAACTTCATTTGTCATCCAGTTATTATAAAATTCGTGAATCTGTAAATAAAAAATCATGATAAATTAAATAATTACTATTTAATAATTTAATAATGATATCTATAATATATTATAAGCACAAATAAAACTTACATGAGATTTAAAACTTTTAATAATTGCTACATCATGGTTGCAGCTTAGATGTCAATTCACCAGGAGTTACAGCTATATTGGTTTCTTTTTCTTTAAGTTTTTGCTTAACAGAATCAACTAAGTGCTCACAAAAAGAATCCAAAACAAGAAGTGATCTAGGATTTGATGATAAATCAGTAATTCTTTTAGACCTGATATTTTCTACCTACCAGTTCATTTCATCCTCATTAACCCATCTTTTTCATTTGTTCTAACAAATATGCCATCTGGAAAAGTTTCTTTAGGTATATTTTTTAATTTGAAAATAGCAACAGGTGGTAATTTTGATCCATCAGCCATACAACCTAAAATAACTGTAAAGGTACTTTTTTCATGACTATAGTTTTAATATTAATAGAACTAGAACCTCGTTTTTCTAAGGTATATGAATTAGGTAAATCAAAAGCTACATGTGTTTTATCCATTTTTCCAATAAATTTTAGTGGATAATCATGCTGTATTCTTCTATATAGGACAAAACTTTGCTGCTTTTCAAGTAAATCTTCTGGTAAGTGTTTAGATACTGTTGTTCATCTATTTGAAAGATCATGACGAACTATAAAACAAACCATCTATTTGCTTGAAAATTTAAAGGAAAAATATTTGAATATTTTTCTTGGTAATTATCAGTTTGTGCAAGTTCTTTAGCCTTTTTTATTGCCATATTTCTAGTAATTGGCAAACTTTATGCGTGACAATCTAAAATTCACTTTGCTAACTCTTGCTCAAATTCTGGAAAGAATGGTTGCCTACCACTATGCAACTTTAATAAATAAGGTATTGAAGCTTTAAGTTGATTTTTTTTATGTCTCCAGTCACGAACCTGACTTGGTTGTATGCCAAAATGACTTGCAGTTGCACGAATACTACCTAACCGGTTCAAAAAATGTAAAACCAAACCATTAGCTTTTCACAAACAAACCATTGTCATTTTTTTTAAGAGTTATTCTAGAACGAGAAGTTCTTTTATTTCCTTTATCAACCATTATTAGAAGGTCTAACCATAAAATGGAAAGCAACACAAAGTGGAACGTGTTACAAATTTTTTTATACCGTGATCAACATAGTGCATCTGATCTATACAAGATACTCCCATACAAAATACCCTCCTGATTAAACTACCCGTGTATTTTGCAAATATGGGTGAATTTGTAAAAAACCAGGGGTAGTTTAGTCAGTGCTCTATGATAATTTTTATATTTTAATAATATTCATCTTTTTTTGTTGTTTTTCAACTCTTCCTTTCATACCCCATTTTTGTCCTTCGCGGGAGAGGGGAGAAAGAAAAAAAGAAAATAAAGCTGGAAAATTTTTTTCAGGTATTTATTTATAATAATTTGCGATATGCACGCTTGTTATAAATTATTAAATTTAGCAATTATGGTTCCAAATAATATTTGAGTATTGTGATCGATCATACTTGTTCTCTCCATGTATTGATTTTATAAATCCGATGTGGTACTCCAATCCGTGAATCATCCATGATCAATCTGTCAACTGTGATCTGAATCCGAACGGATGAGTGATAATCTGACGAATGATCCGTCTAATTATAGTTTAACAAATCAAAAAACTCAATGAAGACTTAAGAGCTGAAAATGGAAATTTCATTGTTTTATTAAAACTTTTACCGTATTCTTTATTTTACTCGCGTTTTTCTTCTCTGATTTGAAAACCTAATTACCCAGGACCTTCTAAGCAAAGTTGTGCCGTTTGTTGAGAGAACAACTACATGTCACTTAAGAACATTTGAACTGTTCTTTCTTTTCTTTTTAGGAGCAGGTATTTCGGCTTGATCTTGGTAAGCGTCGTCAAGTTTTTTCTTTATAGGAAAATTCTTTTTTCTATTTGTTTCAATTTTAGGAATGTTAGAGGGCTTTCTTATTAGTTTCTAGACATGTCATTAACCATTCTTTTTTTTAGGGACGGTTCTTCTGCTTATGATCATGAAGTGTTGGAGAGATTTCGTATTTCTCTTTTCAGGAATGGCAGTAACATTTCTTCTTTTTTTTTTTTTAATCTTAGGAGCATTAGAGGGCTTTCTTATTCTTATTTAGGAATGTTCTTAACCATTCTTTTTAGGGACAGGTACTACAGCTTATGATCATAAAGTGTTAGAGAGGTTTCATGTTTCTCTTTTCAGGAATTGCAGTAACATTCCTCCTTTCTTTTTTTTTAGGAATGGATTCTTAGGTAGATGAAATGTGTTTATTTGAGGATGAAAAAATATTTACTGAAATTAACATGATTACGGCAATGATTAAACTTATTCAAAATATCGTCATTCAAATACATAATTTTATTTAATAACACAAAACAATTATTTTATACCTTCTTTGTATTAATTTGAAGTAAAATTCCGAATTTATTAAAATGAATTAAATTTTATTTAAAATAATCATTAATCTATCAATTTTAACAAACTTCAATCCTTTCTAAAGACTTCAGAATTTTTAATAAAATAATGAGTAGAATTGCATTACATACATAATGTAATGATATTGAATATAGCGCTAAACAATTGACAAATTAAGTGTGATGAACATAATATTCATTTCATCGGCAACAACTTCTTTACAGAAACTTGGATTCCTTAATACGCAGTAACTGCAAAGTGACTTTATAGTAAAAATATAGTTACTACCTTACTTAATAGTAGCTTAATCACAGCCTGATAGGTACTATGCAGTTACTGCATAGTAAGGAAACAAAGTTTCTGTAAAGTTGTTTTCTTCGAACCTGGCATTCATCATCATCTCTTTTCATTAAAAAAATAAAATACTATTTAATCAGGGAAAAACGAAGCAAAGTAAATGGTAAAAATAAAATTTCTAATTGACTTGGGTATGTACACCGCCATTGCATACTTCTAACGCTAATGGCAAATATTACGGGATAAAATGAAATAAAAATTAGTGAAAAAACAAATATATAAAAAGAAAAATAATCCATTAAAGTTGTGTTACATTTATAAAGAACCCGAAAATTTAAACGAAAAAATCACATCGCTCACTTCAGAGCCGAAAAAAAAATTCACGAATAGTAAAAAACAAAATGCAATACCTATTTTCTAACGACAACCCGAAGTTGCCTAAAAAGAAAATAAAAGTTGTAAATAATAGTAAAAACAACATTTCGCGAATAATTTAATAATCAGCAACATCGACTAATACTATGTAATGACAAATTTCGGAAAATAGGTCAAGTCCAGAAACAATAAGAATACAATGATTTAAACTTTATTGATGAAAAATTATGATACACTTATATCCAATACTAACAAACAATTTTAAATTAAGCTTAATTAATAAATATTTATTCGTTAATAATATCAATTGCCGTATAATTTTTTTCTAAAAGTTTTTTAATGCTTTTAATGCTGTCTTCTAATGTTTCAAACTTCTTAAATAAATCATCACTACTCTTTACTAAGATTTTACATTCAGACTTTGTTTCAAAATCTTTCTCAATTACAACCAACTTTCTTAATTTATCAGAAATATGTGATTTGTCATCCGATAATGAATTATCTATTTCTTTAATCTTTTGTCTAACCTCTTCAATAGGTATCTCATAGAATCTATATGACAAAAAAAAGTTGATAATATTCCTTTTATTGCAGATGTGCAAACATTTATAAAATAACTTACATCAAATTCGGAAACCAATGTTGCCACCTTCGTTGATTTGGAAGCAGTAGAAAAATCTCAATTTCAGCCAATATTTTTTTTTTCACAAGGGTAAACAGGAAATGTGTTCTATTTCCTTCAATTTCTAAGTTAAGCAAACCAATAAATAAATTCATAAGATAAACCACAATCACGAACGAAAACACAATTAACAGCAATGTCATGAATGGATTTTCCAAATATGTCCATGAGCCAAGTGCCGAAGGATCTCCCGTTAAAAACAAGTACATAGCCAAGAGTGAAGTTTTATAAGTAGCAAACTGATTTACATTTGAATTAGGTTGCTTAATATAAGCTACTTCAGAACTAATTGTCTTGTCAGGAGAAACTGCTTGATATTTATCTACAAGATTCCAGGGGTTATTTGGATCATCGTTCATTACAGGATTATTCATATCATATGTCCCATTTGGATTCAATATAATATAAAAAGCATGTGCAAAGCCAATTAAAATAAAAAATAAGATCAATAAGAAGGAAAATATCCTCTTAGCCACACCAACGATAATAGTAAAATTAGAGCCAAAGTAATCAAGTGCTCGAAAAAATGTGATAAATTTGAAATGTAAGAATAGATTTGATATAGAAATCAACCATAATTGAGGTTTTTCATGATTTAACCAAAAGATGGCGGTATATAATGGGAAAATAAATGCGGCAAGGTCTGGAGAAAAAAAAATAGTAAATCTTTTGTTGATGATTAATCAAATCATGTAGAAGTTAATTTATACATACCTAACCAATTCCATAGGTCTGTAATATAATCTTTCCAATTCCAAAAAAATTGTCTAAGTTCATGAAAAATATGAAATGAACCAAGAACAATGCTAATACTTAAAAAAATTTCTGTTGTATCAGATGTGTACAAGGTTGAAGCTACTCCAAAAGAGAGCAAAAGCATGATAAAAACTCCCCACTTAAAACGATAGTAATATTTTCCAAAAGTATTCCATTTGAAATTAAGTAATGCCTCACCATTCCAGCTATCATAAAACTCTTCGTCATCCAATTCAACAAATGGGTTGGTCGGTGGAAATAGTAATTCCTTCCAGAAATTATATTTAGGAGAATACTTTGTAAATTCCGGGTATGGAATTACAAAACTAATAACGCTTTTTTTTTGATATTCTTTAATGTTAAACTTGCGGAAAATATATATATTAAAATTTTGAATAACAAAACTCAATTTAAAATAAGCCCGGATAACAATGGAATCCCGAAAATCCCGACACTTTTGAATTACATCACATTTATATATTTGAACCAAATTCGCTTGATCAGTATAACCAAACAATTTCTTTTCTTTGGAGAAATAAGATTTATCGATGTACGGATTTGGAATAATCGAGGTTTTGGAAAGGAAGTTTGAGTAATAATGGGGAAGGTCTGAATTCAACTTTTGAAGATATTTTGAGATAATAGTATAGATTTCAAAATGAGTCAAATGAATCAAAGTATCATCGGTAATTAAAACATATAATATGTCGAGGCATTCACTTAGAATTTCACTTTCTTTATTCTTAATAGCAAAATCAATAATTTCATCGCTCTTTTCTATGATATACATTTTTGCATGTAGAAGTTCCATGATCATATTTTTTTTATCCTCCTTTTCTGGAATATCTAGGTTTGGGCATGGAATTCTTTTGCATTCAAGAAACTTTTTTATATCATGATAAAAGTATTTCTTAACAATCTTATTGGATTTAAGACCAAAAATAATGGTTCCGTCGTCGCCATAGCATATTACGTCATCGTTACCAAAAATTTCAAGATCATAAAGTTCGAATTCCAATACCTTCTGATCTATTGGTTTGCCGCCATCTTTTAAAACTGATAAAGTTTTAGGCTTAGAAAAAATCCATTTCAATTTTTTCCCTTTGGCATTAATTTTCCTTTCCTCCCTGATTATGTCTCTGAAGCTTGAATGAATAAATAGCTTGGATATATCATACAGCTTTATAATCATTTCATCATCATTCTTAACGTCTTTAAGCTTTATAATAATTTTATCATCCTTATGATTCTTATCGAGAACGATAAAATTATTATTATATAGCTCATTAATAATTTTATGGGGAATGATAAATTCTAATAATTTTCTGAATTTTCTGAGTATTAATTCATTATCTTGCGAGGTTTGTATTTCGTTAATTTTGAAAGTTTCATAGAAAGATGAAAAGTTTTTAACATTGTATCTATATTCGCACATGTATGGGAGCTCATAGGGATCCGTAAATAAATACTTAATCTCTACTTTCTTTGTGTCTAATGAATTTAACATCAAAACTTCAATATCATCTTTGCTTTTTATAAATCGGATATTTGTATATTGAGCCAGAAATTCATCTCTTCCTATGAAATGATTAGTCAATCATTGAATCATTGGCAAAATAAAACAATGCAACAAATAATATTTGAATACTTACTTGATGAAATTAGGTTGCCATTTGTCATTGAATATACACATAAAGAAGCGTCATCTTTATGTTTCAAGTATATTGCAAATAAACTTTTATCGTTATTTACTGCCCCAATCCATTTATAGCTTTCTGGAATGATGTATTTATTTTTAATAATCCAGTTTTTTGGATCTAATTGAATTATCATAACTGAGCCTTTTAGGGTAAAGAATATTTGATCATTTATTAGGTCCATTTGGATTATTGTCGGGGTATCGTCCATTTCTATTTTCCTTTGACCATCGTCCATTTTTAAGTCCATTCGAATATCGACAACTTCTAAGCCCTTTCGAATATCGACCATGCTTAATCGATATTTTGAAGTATATGTGTACGGTGAATTATTCAATATAGTTTCTGTAAAAACATATATATATGGTGCTTTAATCAATAGAAGATTTCCATTTGGTAGAAATTGTAAAAATCTTCCGTTACTTGGATTTATTGTGGTACATTTCGTTGTTTCCACCGCCGTTTCCATATCTAAGACCGTTAAGTCAGAGTAACCAGTTGAATCCTTAAAACCACTAATCAATAATTTTTTATTTGATAATCTTAGTAGAGACCTTTCCGGTTCCAGATGATTCTTAAATGTATTTTCTTTCTCTATTTTATTATCTAATAAATCAACGGTCCACAAAACTACAGATACGTCATTACTAGTCACCATATATTCCATATTCGGTGAAAAAACGATATTCTCAATATGTTTCCTAAAATCATACAAAAGTTTAACACTTTTTTCAGACATATCTAATTTTTTAAAGACCTAGTTTAAGTCAATTAAAGAAATTTTAAAAAATTAGTGGTGGTGTATATTTATTTATATTTTGTCTGAAAAGTGCGTTACATAAATGTTTACTTTTGAAAATCGAGTCGAGTAACATGAAATGTTACGCTACATACGGAGCGCCGATGTTATGCATAAAGAGGGAGTTATGTAGATCGTTTTATAAGAATTGCTTTAAATCGGTCGGTTATATATATACATTTTGGAATTTTAATAAAAATTGATTTACCAAATATAATGTCTGCGAATGGGCTAATTTATCATACTTGCCTAACCGTTCGATATAACAAGTACTAGTCTAATAGAATGTATGGTATAACTATTTGTGTTAACTTTGTTTTAACTCGTTATCAAAAATATGTTGAAATATGATTCGTAATATTTTTAACATATTAAATAATATATTGCAAATATGTCAAATATATTATAATATAATGTATCAAAAATATGTATTTTATATTTAAATTGTTATGTTTTTATTGTATGTTGAGAATATGCTAAAAAGAATTATCTAAATATTCTCATTTTCTTGTTATATGATGACATATTCTAGTACCTATCATAATAAAGATATAATATTAAAAAAGAAAATATCAGTGTTTATAAAAATTTCTGTATTGTTAAGTTATATCATTGAATTTAATAAAAAATGTATTTAATAAAGTTTATATTTACCTGTATCTTTTTCAAATGTCTTGCGCCATATCGATGTACCAATCGAATAGTATATAGAATTTAGTCAATATTAGAAAATTACCGAAACCTAAAAAAAGAAAAAGAAACTTTATGTTAATATTTTATATTAATAAAATCAAAAAAGTTTTAAAATTAACTCACCATCCTGAAACCAAAAGTTCAAAGCTAAAATCTAAAATAAAGAAATATTATATTAGTAACGTATCTATATTAAAAAATTAAGAGTTTCTTTTGAAACTCACCCATCTAACTAATACTAAAGCCCAAAGCTGAAGCCTATATAAAATAAAGAACTACATTAGCTACGTTTCTTTATTAAAAATAAATAGTTTCTTCAAAATTCAATCAAACCCAAAGTCAAATCTAAAAAGAAGAAATAATATATTAGTAATGTTTCTTTAACAAATAAAATAAATAAATAGATCACTATCCCTTTGTAAAACTTTGATTCCAAGTTCAAGAGTTGAAGTTAACTTCCGAATCTTTAAAAAAAAGAAGAAAATTTTATATTAATAACATTTCTTAACATAAAAAAAAAAAATAAGGATTCCTGATACAAACCTTCAATTCAAAATCCAAAGAGTTGAAATCTGAGAATCGAAGTCCAAAGTCAAAGCTACCCTTTATGAACCTTAGTAAAATTCTAAAGCCGAACCTACAAAAGAAGAAACAAGAAATATTAAAAGATATTTCTATTAAAATAATCAAAAAAAAAAAAAATATTTCGTATGAAATTCACTATTTTAACGTAGAGGAAACAAATCTTACAAAAGAAGAAATAAGAGATAGTTAGAATGTGTTCTATTAAATTAATCAAAAAAAAAAATATTTTGTACATTTTGTCATACAAAACTTACCGTTTTCAATATTCAGTACTAACGAAATTCAGAAACCTACAAGAAATAAAAAAAAAAAATATTATGAAACCATTCCTATTAAAAAAAGCATATTGGTAAGTTTCACGAAGTAACTTATCATTTTCAAACTTCCTACTTGATTGAAATTCTAAAAACCTTTTTCAATAAAAAAATTTATTAAAAATTTAAGTTTCATAAAAAGTTAAGTGTTTAAAATGTATTAAAAAGTGAAATAAAACTTGAATTAAAAGTTTAATAAAAATAAATTGCAGCTACGGCTGCGACTTATCTATCATATAATACATGTAATATTAGGGTGGAAGATAGATCAAAATTATATACTATTGATCGAAGTTTCCTAATAAATTGATGTATATTCGCATCTTTATAACTTTGAATTCTTCTTTGATTTTTTTTTCCAAATACTGTGAAAATGTTTCAAATAAGTCTTTTTTATGTGATATCTTTCTTTTCTTCTAAAAAAAGTTTCACAATTTGGAAATAATAAAGAACTATTTTAAGAACTATCTTTCTATAAAAAAAAATTTTTTGAGTGTTTCAAAAAAAAAGCGAGCTATACCATTATTCTTAAAGTTATTATATGTCTATTTATGCTTTTAATATTACCCAAATATTCTCAAAGAACAAGTTATCAAATTTTGAAAATTGGGAATTTTTTTTAATGAAAAAGAAGTAATTCTCAATTTGGCGTCATACTAATTGATGATAAAAACATCGAACAATAACAAATGTTCACAAGGACTACATATAATTTTGATTTAATTAGTTCATCTGCCACCCCAACGTGATATTTTAAAAGTATATAACCTTTTATTTCGTTTTTGATTTTATTTCTTTTAATTTAAATTTATTAAATTTTAAATTATACTTTCAGCTGAAATTTTTTTATTCTTATGAAAAGCCCTCTTCTATGAATGGGTAGAGATCTTTTAGCACCTATAGGAGAAGAGCTATTCCCATTCATAGCAACAAAGGAAAGATGTCTTCAGAGTAAGATATGTTAAATACTAAAAAATTAGGTGTAAAATTTAGTCTAAAAATAAGTGTTTCAGCAAAGTTTATTTTCCTTTTGCAGATCTTAAAATTTTAATCTTAAAAATTTCAAATAATAGATTGATCAAATCAGGCAAACTCCAACTGTTCTCATTTTTATAATATTACAGTTATAAACATATATTAATTATTTTAATTTATGTGCTACAATTTTTTATTTCATTAAGTTAATATTTAGTATAAATTTATATCTAAATTCGAAATGTATTACAGATATGTTTTACATGTTTCAATCATCTTACAATTATATCATTCACGTTAAAATATTTTGACTATACATCAAACATATAATTGCTATCTGTTAGTGATGTTTATTGTATTTATAAAAATTGAAGGTTTCTGTAAAAGTTGGCATTGTTAAGTATTCAGCTGTATTGTCTAGGTATGCATAATTCCTCAGCTACAACTACAATGGTTGACAATAATAACAACAATGATAATAACAACAATGGTGATGAACCTGTCCCACACTATGTCCCAAATGTCCCATCATCTATGTCCCATGACAACACTGCATAAAAGTATATTTTTTTCCTTAATAAAATAAGTTCTGATGTTGATGAAGCCGGTAAGCGTGATGCGTCGAAACTATATCTTTAACAATGTCAAATAAAATCATTGTGTTAGAACCATACATTTATAATTCAAATTCAACTAAAAATTTTTATTTTTAAAAAATATATATATTCATTTTAATAATTTAAAAAAATATCTAATGATTTATAATATAAGTAATTTGTTTATTAATTTATATTTATTAGATTATTATTATGGTAATTCAAACTCAATAAATATTATTTTTTAAAAAAAATGGATATAGATAGTAAGTTATAATTAAGCTTTTTTGTAATTTAAGTTTTTTGCTGTTGTAGCTATCGTACAGTATTTACTTTAAAATTACTTTAGACCATGAATTGTTCCGTCTTTTTTTTTGAGAAATTTTAATCCGTTTCATCAATTATATCCACTTACAAAGAACGATGCAAGCATAAGTAATTTAACTTGATTTTATACAAAAATATAAAACTTTGTTATTTTATTATTATTGAATTGTCGACTTTTTTTATCATTACTTCAATTCAATTGATACCGCTCAAAAAAAAAATACGAAAATCTGAGAATGATATTTTCTCAGTATAAGGAATTTTTCAAAATCATGAAATAATTAAGATTATTGACAAACCAATCATCTGCTAGCTATCACCAAAAAAATAAACATTGAATTTGATTAGGGAATAATTAAAAAAAAGAATTATACTCTGAGGTAATCCATTTATTAAATTTGTATAATTATTGTAATTGATCATGGTCTAATACTTCATTTGTTTTTTTTTTAATTAAATGTGTGGTTCATGACCATAATTCAGAAAATATAAATATTTAACAAGCATCCTCTTTCATATTAAATCCAAAATTAATAATGAGCAATAGATATCAAATCTAACGTAATGGAAAGTATTTCCAAATTTACGGAGCTCATTCGTAGACCTCCTTCACCTGATGGCGTAACAAATTTCTAACTAGTTCAGAAGCTATCAGCAACCTTATCAAGGATATCGAAGCTTTGGGGATCAATAAATCCGTCGAAGATATGGTTTTACCTAATATTGCTCGTCTTGGGTAATAACCGTGAGATGACTCCCAATTCCAAGTAATTTAAAATTGAATTCAAAGCCAGTTACATTTCCCTAATCGTTCCTTCTATTTTAATTATAGTTGGAAATGATAAATAGAGCAGATTATGTCAAAACTTCCATCCAACAGTAATCTCTTTGTGAAATAAAGAAACTTTAACTTTTAATATCGACTCTATAGTCAGATATTTCAAAACCATTGATGTTTACAAATAATTTTTATCGTACACGCATATACCCTGGGATTAGAAATTTCAATTCACACTATTCAAGAAATGTTCGTATTGATCAACCCACCCCTTTGAATGTTTCCGATCCGGAAACTCTATTTGACACCATAATGGTTCGAACAAATTCAAACCTCATCCTTCATCAATTAGTTCAATTTTATTTTACTTGGTAACCATTATAACGCACGATCTGTTTGATTTTCACCGAATGAACTATACATTAAGGTTGGCGAGCAAAACCTGGAGGTTTCGACAGGCATCGAAATCGAAACGTTTGCCAAATTTTTTTAATTGCAAAAGTTTCGACGGTGGCAAAATTTTCGACTGGTGGAAAAACTCTTCGAAACCTTCTGACATTAAAATACAATTTTTGAAATTTAAAAATTTATTATTTTGTTTTTAAGAGATGAGCAAATCGAATATAGCAGGTCACTTTCTTTTGTTTTTATTTTATAAAAGATAAGAAAATT